CCCCAAAACCCCAAAACCCCAAAACCCCAAAACCCCAAAACCCCAAAACCCCGAAGGAAATAATAATCATTGAAATTGTTAATGGAAATTTGAAATACCTTTGTAAAATCTACCAAGAAAGTAGACCGCAAAAGCGAATATTACATCCAGAAAGGAAGAGAGCTTTTAGTAGATGAGAAGAATCTTCAAGGCTGGATCTTCCGCAATTGGGACCTGGAAACTCCTTTCCCTGAGGATCTAAGAAACAGATTTGTCATCACTTCTTACTTTAAATTTGTAAAGAAGATAAGATTTTGCCCTCCTCAAAACATTGTTACTTCAGACCTGAAGTCGATGAATCTCATCAAGGCCGATATTCAATATAGCCATGATTGTTCTTGGATTAAGAAAGGTCCAAACTCTTCAGATACAAGCAGGGATCTCATATTTTGGAAACAATGTAAATAATGTACACTGTGGCAATTCACGTTTTAGGTAAGAAATTCTTTCCGATAATACCTATGATTTTAATTTGTCTCCAGGTCTCTTATTATTAACTAAATACTTTAGAGTGAGTATCACCAACAAATTTTACAAAAATGTCTTATTCAAGACACTAAGCATGAGTCTTAATTTCTTCGATGTTGTCAATTTCAAGCTCGGTCCAAGAGATATTTCAAAAATCCTCATAACAGGGAGGCATTTAGACTGCCTGCATTTCTCTAGATGTACCTTACCAGTCCAGGAATTCCCAAAGAACCCTCCTCCCTCCCTTAGTAAGCGAACCCCTCCACCTCTGTTTGTCCTTTCCCTGACATAATCTCCTCACCTAACACATTTGCCTTTTAAAAATCTAATCTAAAGAATTTCTCCAAGCTGTTTCTTCCTTTCTCCAAGTTCTGATTAAAAAATGTTCTTCCTCCAGTCTAATTGTTTGGTATAGGTTCCCATATTTGTTCAGTCTGGTTTGCCGACTGTAGGAGTGGAGTGACTGGATTAGAAGAAGAGTATTATGAGGTGGCGTGAGGAGTTGTTCAGCAGGTGCTGAAGGGATGTGAGTGGATGGGAGATGTGGCTTTTACTATCAAAAATACACCTAAATTCTCCATCCTCAAGCAAATCTTAACTAACATTAACGATACACCAACCCCCACCAGAATCCCTATGAGAATTTACATTGAGCAAAATTACCAATGGAGCACTGTTTATGCCAGTCCAAGAGAAGACAAAGTTAAGGATTAAGAAGGATTTTAGAGAACCTTAAGATTCAACGAAGTATAATTAGGTTGGGGTTTTGGGGTTTTGGGGTTTTGGGGTTTTGGGGTTTTGGGG